AGAGCCTGGATGAGCCCCCCGGCAGCCGCCCCCCGCCCGCGCTCACCATGCCGGGGTCAGTGCAAAGGCGGCCGCAGGAAGCCTCCCCGCCGACACCGCCCCCCCGCTCGCCGGCCAATCCGCTGCCGCTCTCCCTCTGACTGGCAGCTTTTCGACCAATGAAAAGGCGGCGCTGGGCGGGGGCGGGCCCTCCGCGGCGCCCGGTTCCGCGGGCGCTGCCTCCTGGGAGCTGTGGTCCCCGCGCGGCTCCGGGAACGCGGGTTCGAGCCCCGGGCGCGGCAGCTCGTATGTCTATCAATTAAATCATCTCTATGTATATACCTGTACCCCCTATGTATATATGTGCGCACATGTCGGTGTGTATTAGCACCTAAAGTGCCCCTTCAAGCTGAGGCTCTGTGATACCCAGCCCTGCACGCAGCTCCTGGACGTGGTATTTGGGGGGCAAAGGAGGACACAGGGGTTTGGGCAGCGGTGGCTCCATCCCCATGGCCTCCCCGTCCTCCCCCGCCCTGGGCTGGTTGAGCTGGGACCTTCCCCTCCCCGGTGCCCTCCATGGAGCAATGATGCCACGGGGCTGGCTGTACCCATCTTGCCAGCCGCATCCCTTTGCCCATGTCTTCCTTGCAAGATAAACAGGGTGGTCTCCTGCATTTATCCCCCTGTGGCTGTCCATCTGTGTCTCCCTGCAAGCGCTGGAGGATTTGAAGGTGGGTGAGGCCAGGGCAGAGCCCCCTGGGTGCAATTTGTCCCGACTGATGGTGGGTGAGAGGCTTCAGAGCCCACCACGGTGCCAGCACCCACACCACGCCAGGGGTCTGCAGGCTTTTCAGTTGAGCTCGGGGTTATTTAGGGCTGTGACCGCCCTGCCCTGCCAAGGAGCATCCGCTCCCCCTGAGGAGGGGGCTTCCTCGGGTGCTGGTGGGTGCTCCTGGTCCAGACAGGGTGCTGGTGGCCCCGAGGGGTTGCCATGGATATCGATCTCCCGGGCGACGGGATGCGCTTCCCACTAGATGTCGCTTCCGCCCGTGCCCCGAGCATCCCCCGCGGGTTGGGGTACCCAGCTTTGGGGGGGGGTGCCACCCAAATCCCTGCCAGGCACCCCCAGGATGGCCTGGGCACGCAGCCCCCGGTGTGACCCCCGTGTCCGCCTTGGCCAGGAGCCGAGCAGCCCCTCCGCTGCTGGGGGGGGGGAGAACTCAGGGGCTGTGATGCCAAAAAAAGACCCCCAGCCTGCCCCAAGTGGCCCAATTCTGGCTGCCAAGTGCCCCCAGGCCAAGGTCAGGGGAAGCAGCTTGCTCCATCCCCTTTACTGGCTTTACTTAGGCTGTGTTCTGCCCCCCCCAGACCCCCCAGAACCCCCCCATCCCTCGCACTAGGGGGAAACTCTGGCTGCAGGGTTTGCACAAACCGGTGGCTGCTCCTCTCTGGAACGAATGCAGGGCCCCAGGATCCTCGCAGCCCCCACGGCGTCGGCTTTCAGCTCCGCCGAGACACACACAAAAAAAAAAAAAAACCCAGGAGGGAAAGGTGGAAGATGGATGCTCGGAGCACCCCCCAGCCCGGCCGCCCTCCCCCAGGACACAAAAGCCCCTTTGAGGACTGATTTTACACCGCTCCTGCCGGGATGCCCGAATTAGCATCAGCAAAAAAGGGAGCTGCCGCGGCGGGCGGTTGTCGGTGCCGCTGTAAAATCGTTGAATTAACGGGGGTCCCCAGTCCCACGCCCGGTGAGGGGGTGCCAAGCCCAGTACGGTCCCCGTAAGCACTGGGGGGGACATTCCCTCCAAGGGCTGGCACTTGGTACCCACCAAACCAGAGCCCAACCTGGGACAACCCATCTCCCCACGGTCCCGCAGCCCCCGTGGACAGCAGGGATGAGGATGAGGATGGGGATGGGGATGGGTTGGGGGGACTTTCCAGCTCTGGAGGGTGCTGGGGGCAGCTGGCGGGGCCGGGAGCCGGTCTGTGCCCGTTCCCCCCGCAGAAGTTTCCCATTTTGCACAAAGAGGACGGCGGCGACGGGCATTGTCCGGGCTGCATCGCATTACCCAGGGCTCCCGGAGAAATCACTTGTATTTCACGCTCCATTGAGCAGCTGCCTGTATATATTTTCTGTGTTGCACTTTTAGCATGACAAAAGGAGAGGGCCTGTGAACTCCTTGCTCTTCAGACCTCTCCGACACGTCCCCTGAGCGGAGCCCCCCTCGGTTAGCATAACAAACTGGCCACGCTCCCTCCGAACGTGCTCCGGCTCCCTCCCAGCCCTTTCCCCCGGGGTAATTTAATGTATAGCTCAATATTTGGGCGTCTGGGTCGCAGGCGGTGGTGGGGCCGCGCGTGCTGGGGGGGTTCGGAGGCAGGGGTTTGGGTGAGGACATCCTTCTGATGAGGCCACAGGAGAACCACGTCACCCATGCCGTGTTTAACCGGTCACCAGAAGCACCGGTGGGACCCCCCAGTCCCCCCTGGGGTGGGGGGGATTGAGCCCCAGCAGCCACGGCTGGACACGGCACCGGCTCCGTGGTTCTGTCACCCCGATGGCGGGTGAGGAACCGGAGTCACCAACCTCTGTGGTGACGTTGTGCACCATCCCCTGTCTTCTCCTGGAGCCACGGGTCTCCAGGCTCTGGTTTTTCACCTTGAAATTTGACTCAGAGACAGAAAAACGAGGGTTGTGGGGCTGGAGTGAGTCTCAGGACCAGCAGCACCGGCTGGGGCTGGAGGAACCAGTCAGTGCACTGGGAGCTGGTGGTGCTGGCTGGGTGTTTGTCCCTCCCGGGTCCCCCCTTTTCACAACCAGTCCCACCCGTTCCCCATCAGGGCCACCCCCGGGGAGACCTGTGGATCTGCACAGACCCATTTCCCAGATCTGGGGTGGAAACACAAAGAGGAAGAGGAGGATGAGGTGCAACGTGCCCATCCCCACACTGGCCAAGCCTAAAGTTGGGCTGCTCCTGCCTCCCCCCAGCCCAAAAGGGACAGAACATCGTCCCCTTATGGGGCTGGGACCCCCACGGGATGCCCCTCACCTCCCGCTGTGGGGAAGGAGAGGGCTGGCAAGAGAAAAGCTCAACCCGTTGGGAAGGGAACACACCCTTGATGGTGGGTCTTGTGGGGGTTTGGGGTGTCCTGCAAGAAAAAGGGGCAAAATTCAGTTCAGACACCGGCGGCACGAGGGAGACCAGGCTGTGACACGGCGGGGGGGTGGCTTTGAACACCTTTAATGCACAAGAATTTCTTCCCTCTTGCCTCGTGGAGCTGCAGACCTCGTCCTCCCAACCCCTCGGGCTGGGTGGCAGCAGCTCTGCGTCCCTCCAGCTTCCCGGGATGTCATCTCGTGGGCTGTGCACCCCCTCTGCCAGGTGGTGTGGGGGGTGTCGTGGTTTTTCTTGGTCACCTGGACCCTGCGGCATCCTCTCCTGTCACCTGTTAATGGGAGAAACTGGTGTGAGTCCAGCCCCAGCCTGGTAGAACTGGGGACGAGTCGCCGTGGGATGGCTGGGAGGTGACAGTGTCACCACCATGCCAACCTCCTGCCTGAATAATTCCTGCCATCCCTACAATGGCAGCCCCCACCCCGCCGTGCACTTGGGGACATCTCTAATGGGGTCTGGCAGCGGGGACAGGCAGGAGTTTGGGGTCAGCATGGATTTAAGTGGCTGGTGACCCCCTGGGACACCCTGAAAGAGGGCAGGTGACAGCGGGAGCAGGGAAAAACATGTCGCTGCCGGTGTCTAATGGGGAGAAAAGCTCCCACCCGGGCAGGAGAGGGGGGTCGTGCCCTTCAAAACTCAGGGAAGACCTTTCAGGTGATGCTCCCGAAGCTGTGAGTGTTTTGGGGGGATCTGGGTACTGCTGTGGGGTTCAGGGGGTCCCCACCTCCCACCCTATTCCCTTGGGCAGCTCCAAAGCATCCTCACCAAGAGCTGTGCTTCGTGCCAGGTGTCTGGAGATCAGGCTGACCTTCCTGCTGTCCCCAGGGCGTGTGGTGGCACCTCTTCACCCACGTCCTTCTTGCTGCCGGTCACTGGGGGGGGGTCCCATCACCCTGACAGTGGGGTGCAGTCGGCAAACCCCCTGGATGAACACTCAGCTGCCTGTGGATGAACATACACAGCATTAGCTGCCGCCTGCACCGGGTGGGGGGGTCACATTTCCCCCCCCATCCCCTAATTCCAGTCTCCTCCTGCATTTCCCCAACCCTCCTCCCCACGGCGGTGTGTCGTGTCCCCCCCCCATCCCCCCCAAGCCTTTTCCTTCTGCAGCTTTGCAGGGTCTGAGCCCGAATTGGCTGGTTAATTGGCCAGTCGGGGCATCCTTGTGCTCTCCCTTCACGTTCAGCCTTCGGCGGTGCTTTATGGGGTGCTAAAGCTGCACTGACAAGTGCTGCACGGCATAAATCCCCGAAAAGGGCCCATTCCTGCTGCCTCCCCCACCCCCCGAGCTCCCTGCCTGGGGTTCAGCTCCGTCTCTGTGGGGTGGGGGGATCGCTGCAGGCACCCCCCTTATCCCCAGCCCCTCCGACCCCCAGCCCGGCGATGCCCTCGGGGATGAGTGGCCCCACACATCCCTCTCCGTGTCCACACAGGGTTTGGGATGGGTGATGCTGAGATGGTCTGATGGTTCAGCATGAATATCCCGCTTGGAAAAAAACCTCCTCGATTCCCAGAGCCCGGCTGGGCTCTCCCTCTGGGATGCTGCGAGGCTGCCGGGAGGATGCTGGGCCCCCTGCAAGGGCAGGCTCCCTGAAAACCCAACCTTTCCCATCAAAATCCCACTTCAAACCCTCTCCCCGGATCCCCCTTGCCTGCAGCTGTGCCCCCTCTCCAAGGACCCTTGGCCAAGGGGATGCAGATGCCCAGGGGTGGCCCCGTTGCTTCCCCGGAGCTTGGGGGTTCACAGCAGCTCTTCCTCTGCCTCCCTGTAGCCGGGGGGGGTCCCCATCTGCCCCCCACCTCCCCCTTTTTGTGGGGTGAGACCTCTCGAGCTGTGAGGCTCATCCATTCAACGGGAACGAGAAGGGCTCAATCCCACTGCCGCACAAAGTGGGGGTTCAATCAATAAACCAAGGTGTGTTT